ACTTTTTGACTTTTTGACTTTTCGACTTTTCGACTTTTTCGGACTTTTCGGTACTTTTCGACTTTTCGGGCCATTCTGCCACTTTTCGGGACTTTTCGCGATTCTTGGATTTTCTGACTTTTCATTCGTTTTTTCGGCACTTTTTGATTTTTTTTGGTACTTTTCGGGATTTTTCAACTTTGAAACTGATCGGTGTTTTTCGCGAGTTGTAGCCGACTTTTCGTGTTTCGGCACTTTTCGGGATTTTTCGGATGTTTCGGCTTTTCGACTTTTCGCGCCAAATTGCTTAAACAAAAAACACAACATTCGACTTTTCAGCTTTTCATCTTTTTGGGCAACTTTTACATTTCTCCGCCTAAATCCGTCCACAGCCCCTCGCAACCACAGAATATCGACGTCATTATGGTATGGGCATGCATGCACTGGTGGTCGCATGCGTTCGAACCCGAAAGACATCCAAAATTAAGTTGTTGTTTTTCCCAGGGCTGCTGATGCCGGCAGGCATGAGCACGAGCTAGGATGAAGACGCCTCGTGATATGACATCCTTGCTGCGGTCATGTGTCGGGGAGAGCTGACACGGGTGCACATGTCATTTGGATTGGCGTGGAACCTAGACGTGTCAAGCAGATGCAAGCAGTAGTTGATATGAAGAAGATTATGACACGTTGCAGATGCGGTAGCCGTCCTCTGAGCTCAGGTAAGTAGCACTTTGTTTGCCGATGCCACAGTCCTTAGGACAAAAAGTGAGAGGCAGAGATACCGCCTGAGCATGTCAGCAGTCCCGACAGCGCGTGGACTAAAGCATCCCCAGCTCGGTCTCCTCGGAGGGCGGCATAGTTCTGTGAAAAGAAGACAACCAGCACTACTGACTGGGCATTTCAATGGGCGAGAACAAGGTAGGGGTGATCAAATGTTGTTAGCACTATGATTGTTTCTGAAGGTGCATTGTTTTCAGAGCAGTCCCTGAGCCTTGGCACAGAAGTCCTGAGGAATCCCATGAGCTAAAAGGCCGAAGGGCAGACAACAGTGTCAAAAGAGCCTCATGACAAAACAAAGCTGAAGTGGAATTACTTCTCTCTGGGGCAAATGGCTCCCAACAAAGTTACGTCGTTGCTTCCGCAGTTACCCCTGAGACCTCAGCACGGTGTGCAGTGGCAAAAGTCAAAAGTCCCAAGAGCCTGCAGGTGGGAAGTTGAAATGTAAGTAATGTGTAGGTGTTTTACAGGGTGAAATGTGCAGGCAACAGGGGACAGACAGATTTCGGAGCACAAGAAACACAAAACAAAAAGGCGCAGAGACCCGACGGAGCCCGGATTAAGTTGTCTAAGCAGTAGGTGTAGAATGACGGGAGCGCGGGTCAGCTGGAAAGTGCTTACTGTGCAACAGCATGGTTGGTTGGGTAGGGTCTGTTGCAGGAACATTGGTGGAGCCGTGTGCGCAGCATGCAGGCTCAGTCGGGGGAGAGGGGGAACCTATGCTGGACAGGGAACATTTGTGGTGGGTGACGAGCGTACCTGGAGTAATCATCTTTAAATCCATTGATCCAGCACAGTTGGAGCAAGTTTCACAACCGAGTTGAGCAAGGAGAGGGTGAATGAACAACCGCCCTAATAATTGTGCATTCGTTCGGGAGTTTCAAGCTGTGAAAGCCATAGAAGTTACCTAATCCTAGCCGAAAGCAGGGCGGCTCTTGCGGTCTGCACAGGCCACATAAGAAGAAGAGTGCTGTCATGATTTGGGTGTTGTATGGCAGAAAGCAGGGGGAGTGCCTGTCATCGTCACAGCTTATTTGAGAGGAGGAGAAGCTTGTTCGGAGGCCAACAGCCGTCCGGTAATTGAAGGTGTTCGGTGTGATGAATAGTTGGGCAATGGAACATGCAGTATCCCGAACCTTATGACTACCGACTGTACAAAATCCTGGTCTGAGGGGCGTGGCCTCTGCGCGGAGTGCGCAAAGCACGCAGAAGAAGAACAATAAGAAGAAGACAGAGTGAGGTTATATTATCCTTTTGGTCGTGGTCTTCTCTAAGAAGCATGCTATCTTATTTCGGCCAACCACCGACAAAAGCACTACTCAGGTGGGGAAGACTTGGAAGGCTCCGCAGTCTATGAATGTCTTCAGCATGGGCTGTGTTCAGCAGGTCTTCATGACGGTGCTGCGTTCATGCCGGCTTTCCCACTTGCTTAAGTTACATAGGTCTTTAGCTGGTCACCCGCCAAAATCCAAAGATAATTCATAGCTCTACGGAAAGTTGGGTTCAGCCATCCCCTTAGCTTCTCAACCTTCAAGTCTTCGCGCCTTGTTTTGCGCAATTCCTTGGCATCAATCTCTGCAAGCTCCCAAGCAGCGCATTTCGACCGGAGAGCACTAGGAATGTGCCTCGAGTGAGTCGACACTTGACCAGACTCAGCAGACGTTTCGGCCAGTTTTGCAGCAAATGTTTTGTAGAATGTTCCGCCATGGAAGCTCCTCTCGATGCTGATCATGATGCGGTTGCTGAACAGCGACAATCTGTCCTGAGCCAGGCCGTAGATATTTCACAGTCGCTCACTGCAGCAAAAGGCATCTGGGATGAGTACAAGCTTGTGGAGCCTCTTGGAAGCGGGACTTTTGGTGTTGTCCGGTCTGTCGAGTGCCGCACCAGCAGCAGACGATATGCTGCCAAGACAGTGCGGCTGTGTGAACAAAGCAAACCCGAGATGTTGCTCGCTTCGCTGAAGCATCCTCACATCCTCCAGCTCTACCGAATTTTGGAAGATGGGGGTGAGCGGCATTTCATCTTGGACCTTTGTACTGGTGGTGACCTTGAGACCTGGCAGCTGGGCTTAACAAGTCTGCCTGTCAACTCATCCCCGGTCAGCTGTGTTCATGTCTGAGGATTGAGGACCGCTACGATGAAGACTTCGAGGGAAAGAGATTCTACGACCAGCCGAGACCTTCGGCTTGATGTTCTAGACCGTTAGGAGCTACAACGGATGGTGACCGTTTTTGTTGATCGCCTGTACCTTTATCGCTTATCACTTTTTTCAGCATGACATCGCTTGTGACTGATCCTTGAGGAAATCAGACTCTTCCCGGCAAAGCTTGCATAAAGGACGATCGCCTGCAGCCTAAACAGTCCCTAGCCATAAGCAGGTGCTAAAGTCGTTCAAAGCTAGGGGGATGGGCGACCCTAAGCCCTCAGCCATTTACGCCGAACGCTAAACCCCGAAGAATCCTAAAGTCTATCAAGAACCCCGAGCCCTAAACCCTCAAGGACCCCGGAGACTAATCCCTAAAGCACACCGAACACCAACAAAAGCCCGAACCCAAGTCCCTACAGATCCATAACGCACCCCTAGCTCTAGTCCCTGGAGAATCCCAAACCCTAAAGAACCCCAAGCCTTAAAATCTGAACAACCCGAAACTCTTAGCCCAAAGAAGCCTACATCCTCAATCCAACGCAAAAAAACATCCGTAAAAAATCCCAACCTCTCAGCAAGCCTAAACCCCAAACCCCGAAACACCGTACATAAACCCTAAAGAATCCCAAGCCCCAAACCCTAAAACCCCAGAACCCCTAAAAGGACCACAAAGACTGCAGTCTAAAGACAGGACCCCAAACCCTGGACGCCAAAGAATCCCAAGCCCTGGACAACCCCAAACCCTAAACTCTTCACAATCCCAAATCCTGAAGACCCTGAAGCCTAAATGGGCGACCCTAGACCATAAACCCCAGATCCCAATCCCCTAAACCATAAAGAACTCCAAAAAATTAAACAAGCCCAAGCCCTCAACTCTAAAAACCGTGTTTCAAATTTCAAAAAACCCCAAGCTCTGAATGGTGAAGGACCCCAAACTGCAAACCCTAATCCCTGCTTTGTGGTCGCAAGTTATGTGTCTTTTTTTGTAGTCGCAAGTGATGGGACACGTGTCCTATAGAGCAAGGCCACATCCGCAGGCATCCAGGGGGACATGATTTCAAGTGATGTGCAATTGATGTTAACTCTGTAGTCGCAAGTGATCTTTTTCAACGGCGGTGCTTGTGCCGTTACCACCATTCTTATGGTTTCAGCTTTGCCTTGGAAGTCAATTCTATTCACCCAATCTGCTAGTGCACAATCTAATCGAAACGGGCGAGCTTTGCTAAGGCACTTCTGAAGTTTTTAGTTTGGCCGGGCAGATGCTCTCTGCCATTTCCTACATGTACGAAATGTCTGTGGTGCACCGGGACGTGAAGCCTCCCAATTGGATGTTGGCTTCCAAGAGCTTGTTTCCGTCGCTGAAGCTTTCGGATTTTGGGCTGGCTTGCGAGTGTGGCACTGGTGAAGTACTGAAAGAAAGATGTGGATCGCCAATGTACATGGCTCCGGAGGTCTTCGAGCGTTCTTACACGGCCTTGTGCGACGTTTGGAGCACAGGGCTAGTTGTGCATGATCTGGCTGTTGGGGCGCCCCTTTTCCAGAAGATCCCCGAGGCTCAGCTGGAGGAAGCCGTACGCGGACAAATCGAGCTCACCTCGCCAGGATGGCGCTACCAGAAACCCTTTCTGAAAACCTTTGTTTTAGAGCTTTTGCAACGGGAGGCAGATGGCCGCCCCTCAGCCTCAGAGGCTTTGCAGCAGGCAACACAGCATAGCTCAAAGTGTCGCTGTGTGATATCTTGAAAGCTGCTAAAAAGATGCTCACAAAGGGCAAGCGTGTAATTATTCTCCTTGCGGTTGCTCTGCAAGTCCAATCGTCCAAGACGTGATGGAATGCAAGTCCGCTTAAGGCGTTTTGCCGGCATGCTCGATGCTATCATCTTGTCCCAGCAAAGCAGAAAGATGCTCCAGCATGCTCGGTCGAGCCGGCTTGCTAGACTCGCGTGGTACCCGCAGAGAAAATGGTTTCTTTCAAACCTGAAGACTCATGGTCTGGCAGCTTGCAGGCTTGCTTTGATACGTAGTAAGACGGTGAGGCAATAGTTGGCCTTGGGGACGTTGACAGGTCTCCAAGCACGCGACTGGAGGCGGCAGGAGCATCTGCGTTCTTGACCAGTCGGCCGCGGGCATGAGGCAATTGACAAACAGGGCTTTGCTTCGAGACATGTCCTCCGGTACTTGGTTAGGCCGCATGCGGTATTCTGCGGCATATGCAGCCTCAAGCATTGGCTCAAGCTCTGGCTTCCAACAAGCATGTCTCACGTTCTCAATCAGAACAAGCCGACAAGTGCACTAAACTCACAAGCCGATCCTGCAATCCAAATTTACCTCAATTGACGGTATGTAGTGTTGGCAATGAAAGGGCCGGGATGGCTGGTGTGGTCGAGCTCCAGCTTGTTTTTTTGTGACGTGCTTTGTGAGGCCTTGGATCTTGGAGCTGCAGAACAGCAGCTGGGACCCTGTGCAGACCTGCTGTTGGCACGCAACGGTCAGAGTGACGAGCTGATGGCCTGCCGTGTGCCCTTGCTTGGCTCGCTGCATGATGATCGTATTCCTGGATACACGTACAACATCACTGAAGATTGCCACTTTTGGGCTAGCTACGCCGCCAGAGATCGACATGTTGAAGGCTCCAGCGTGCTTGGCTTCACCCGCTTGGCAGCATTCCGGCTGAACTCACCCTTTAAACCTCCCTTGCGCCGCAACGGCACGGCCTTGTACATCGGAGCCCATCGTTCAGGAGATGATGGCCTTGTATTCCAGCGTCGGCATGGTCTGCACATGCATCTCTTTGAGCCTTCGCCAACATATTTTGAGATGTTGCAGGACTCATTAGAGGGAGCTCCTGGCTTCACGCTCCACAACTATGGGCTCGGCGCGAAGACTCGTCGAGCGCACCTGCGCCTGAGTGGGACTGCTTCGCGGATTGTAAATCTGACCGTGCCGGAGCGAACCGAGCTGGAGGAGTTGGAGGACCTTGAGCCAGAAGGAACGGAACAGGTGCTCATTCGCTCGGCTGCAGAAGCAATCCCTGAGGTATTGCAGGATAAGCGCGCTTTTGTTGAATTGCTCCACATTAACTGCGAAGGTTGCGAGTACGATGTTGTACACGGTCTGAACCAAGCAGGGCAGCTGTCAAGAGTTGGTCAGATTCAGATTGCAACTCATCTACTGGAGTATACAGGCCCAAGTGATGACTTTCAGGAGGCGCTCTCCTTATCGCTGCAGATATCTGTTAAACGCTACTGCGAAATGCATCAGACACTAGCACTCACGCATGATCGCGTGTGGGGCCTGCCTTGGGTTTGGGAGCGATGGACGCGTCGCCCAAGGAGTGCAGGATAGAGAAATCAAGAAAGGCACGTGCACGGACACCAGCTTTCCGATGCTTTCCGGAGACACTTGCATTGAGCCACCCATGCTGTGCCTCAGCCATAGGCCCATGCCAGGATCATATGTGAATTATGAATGCTGGCTGTGTGGCGTATCATTGGGACCCATCCCTGTCAACTCATACAACTCTTGACTTCAACCAGTGCTGTCGTTCTTGTACGTCAACATCAAAACCTCATACCGCTCATGCCTCACACCTTGCACACTTCCTAAGTCAAGCTTCACCCCGGCAGACTGCAATGCCATGACGGGCTACTTAGGGCAAGGTCGCCTGCTCACAAAGCTTAAGCTTTGCATGGTAGTGGTGTCTTACCAATGCAGATCAACCCGAACTTCCAGCTGCAGAAGCTCTTGCAAAGGTCCGTCCCGCTCATAGAGAGAGTTGGATGAGGGTGCAGCTGACTCAGGTTCATGACGACTTGCCGCCACACACACAGTCACCGCTGAAGCCAGCGAGGAGCAGCAAGTGCTTCAGGCTCCGTCGCTCAGGTTGCCAGTTTTCCGCCTGCGCGATGTGCCGATGCAGCCGGCGACCGGCTGTTTTCAGGCCACTGGTATGTCGTGGCATCAGTGCTAAGCTGAAGCCCATGTAATCTTTTCCGCATGCTGCCACAGCCAATTTTGAGAGCATGGCTCAGTGTAGGACTTGACTGGTAGCTGCATGGGGTGCATAGCAGCATGACGGGGGCCAGCGGAGGATACCAGGTTGGCTTTCAGTTGACGCCATTAAGCGTTGACGGAAACTTGGATGCGGCTGACTTCAAAGGAGGACCTCACCCTGTGGAGAGAGATCCCATATACAAGCTCTGTGCAGACAATCGTGATGCTGGAAACAAGTTTGTGCAAGAAGGTAAACTTGAAGAGGCCATTGCTCGTTATTCTGAGCTAATTATGCAGTCACGAGCACTTGAAAATGAGCCGGATGTCCAGTGGACTGATGAAGGGCGTGACCTGGTCCGGCAATTAAGGGCAGCTGCCTACTTGAATTTGTCACTTTGCTTCTTGAAGTCCAAGCAGTGGCAGCATGCTGTCAACACAGCTACGCGAGCCCTGCAGGGGGACAAGGATCCACCTGATCCCAAAGAGAACATTCTGCCTCCAGAAAAGAAAGCAAAGGCGCTCTACCGGCGTGCGGTGGCTCTGCGCGATGGTTTTGAAAAGCTGGAGGAAGCAGTGAAAGACTTCAAAAAGGCATTGGAATATGTACCGGAGGATAAGAACGTGCAGCTGGAGTTGCAAAGGGCCAATCAGGCCTTGGCAAAGGAGAAGAAGAAAGCGGACAAAAAGTTAGCAGGCTTCCTCTCCTCTCAGACAAGGGGCGGCATCTTTTCTGAGGCGGACCGCCAGCGAGACACCAGTGGACCTGAACTTCCCAGCGAGCCGGTGAAGGTCTCAGACGGGCTCTGGGTGGTCCCCAAGGATGAGGAGAAGGCAGAATCGCTTTTGAAAGCTCTCAAAAGAAAGCTGCCAAGCCCGCATGCAGGAGAAGGATGATACCGGCATCCAGGAGGCCAAAGAGGCCGGTATCGATCTGGACGAGCTCGGCCGTGTCACTTGGTTGCGACCAGGTCTCCTCGCTTTTGCACGGACTGCATCCTTGTTTGGGAAAGTATTGGAGGGTTCCTGCCAAACTGAGGAAATCAACGAGCTGAGAGAAGACAAGCCTGAAGTGTTCAGTGAGCCTCGTGGCAGCCACAACGTTTTTGTAAAGCTGGTTGCGCACCCGTCGCTGTCCTACCACCATTCTTGGCTGCTAGATTTGTCTCTGATCCACTAAAGGCACCCTTGAGCAGGTCCACACCGCCTGTCCCCCACGTGCGAAGCTACCGACATGTGACATTGTCGTCCACTTAACGTGCTTCTGATCACCAAAGGCTTCGGGACAAAATGAAGACATTGATTGAGGACGCGTGCAGCGGGACGGGTTGCCGGTCATGCGCAGCACTGGTGACCTTCGATGCAGGAAGAGGTCATCAAGCAGGAGGGCAACTCGGGCGAAGAAGTCGCACCTGCCTCGTGAGCAAGCAGATCGCCAAGAGGGTGGTCTCAGCAAGCATGAACGTGTCCTAAATGACTGTGAGACACCAGCAAGTAGAGAGAGTCTAACCAGCTGTTGCAAAATGAATCGTGATGCAATTTGTGTCTCTCAAGTGCCGCAGTTTTGTTTCACCTCATGTCTGCTCGTGCAGGCATTTTAAGCAGTTTTCAGCATACCGTAATGCCAGGACTTTGCGCTAGGAAAGAAGAAGTTCATTGCTAGTGGGAACAGTCCGGTTGCTGTCGTGCATGCCTTCATTGTAGGATCTTCTAGTCGTGCGCATCTGCAGGCACTCAGATGGCGGCATTTTACCGGTACAGTTCAGCTGTATTGGACCCTCGGTGATGGCTGGGTTGGTGAAGGTTGGCAAGGCCTGTCAGGGGAAGACATAGCTGTTTCAGTCTCCAACCTCCTCCTTCGTGTAGGCCTTCAAGATGCAGACTTCGAGGCACGGTATCATGTGGCTGAACGGGGCTGAACGGTGTGTGTAGACCAGTTGCAGGTGCGGGTGTCTGCATCCGAGCTGGTGGTGCGATGTCTGGCCGGACCACGAAAAAGCGAGGTGTGCTTGGGACGTTTCGCTAAGTCACAAAGGGGTCATCCAGAAATTTGGCGGTGAAGGTCCTTGGGCCTTTGAGTGGCCGACTGTTGAACGAGGCCTGGCAAGAGCTGCTGTCATTTTGCGGCTTTTGACACAATCCTTTTGCTACTAGGTTGAGCCGGGAATGTGTTGGTACACGGTGGAGCGGGTCAGGGACTTGGCTATGTGTCCTTCGGCCATGATGCAAATATGGCCGCACCTCATCCATTCGGGGTACCCATATCTGCCAATGCTTGCTAGTCTGAAATCTGCTTGTACTGCGGCCAGCAGGATGTCGGAGATCCGCACAGACAGCGCCGACATTTGGTCATAGAGTTGGTCAGCTTCTCAGTACTGGGCAAGGCTGCGCATTGTGAGGTAACTTGTTGCACGATTTGGAAGCTCTGACGAGCCCGGCACACCGCCGAGCCAGGCCAAAAGGAGTTTGGGCAAACCTTGGACGGTTGGATTCTCGGTCGAGCCATGGCAGAATCGCTACGACCGTTTCCAGCCTGGATGCATGTCGCACTCGCAGGACAAACAGATCTTCAAGGATCGTTCAGAAATGTTTAACCGCAGGCCTTGGCGTTGTCATTTTAAAGATCTTGTTTTGAATGGGCAACGTGCCACGTTGTACAGGTCTTTTGCCTGGACACCACAGCAGATGAAAGAGCATGAAGGCCTCAATCTCATGCTTCAGCCGGAGCATGCGGTGCGCCATCCATCATGCAGATGTCGTGGCCTGGAGGTGAGCAATCTGCGTGGACAACGCTGAAGCCAGGGAGAAGACCAGATGTTCAGGAGCTTGGGCGGGTGGCTCGGTCGGACAGCGACTAGGACGTGTCCTGACTCACCCCGTCAGGACCCTTTCATCACTTCCAGAAGCTGGTTGTGCCATGAGCTGCAGTGCGCAGCGCAGTACGCAGCTGTGCAGGCTTCCTCCGTCAAACCTCAGCATGTGAGCACCTAGGCAGGGCCAAAGTGCTCAACATTTGTACTTCCGCATCATCCTTGACCAGTGTGACCCTTGGAGTTTGGCATGTAGCAGCCAAGTCTTGTTTGGCAAAGTTGTCTTGAGGAAGAAGCTGGACGAGGCTTTAGAGAAAGTGCCGTACTTCAGGCAGCACATGGCACAAATCCCGCAGTCTTGCAAGCGAGCAGAAGGCATTTGCAGGCTGTTTGGAGTTGACGCGTCGCAGCGCTACTTCAAGTTGTTCATCCGTGGGGATGAGTCGTCCCGGCAAGTTTCTCCCAGGCTGGAAGGCATGCAAAGTCCCTGATGCCTGGCTCTAGACGAGGTCAAGTCCCATCATGTTGGGAGAGCTTGGAGGACCGATGCTCGAATGATACGTGCTGGATAAGAATGGCTGAGTGCAGTCAGGGATTTCTGGTCCATTGTTCTAGAAAGTCTTTGTGTAGGCTTGAGGGCGGTTAGGCCTGCGTCTGGGGTGCAGGCCTCTCGTCGGCCTAGGGTTGCACTAGGCTTTCGGGCTATCCCAATCCTGCTGTAGGGGCTACATCTAGGCCTGTGTGTAGGCTGCACTTTGCCCACAGCGTCCTGCTTTCTCAGCTGCAGTGTTTGCTTGGTGCTTGCAGCCTGCCTTTTTATCTTTTAAACAACTTTGATCTGGCTTGGGCTTTACAGAAGCGTGCTCAGCATGTCAAGGCCAAAGTTGCCGTCTGTTTGCAAAATCGCATCTTGCAGCGTTTAGTCGCGGAAATTGAAAATGACCATGAAGCTAAGAGGACCGGACCCAATCGCTTGGGTATGTGCTATAATCGCACTTCATCCTGTACTGTAGCATGAAGATGTGCTGACTGGTCAGCTGCGTGGCGATCAATGCAACATCAAAATTCTTTTAAAAAGACCTGACCTAGAAGTGTTGGAATCACAGAGTCCTAAATCATGATCCCAAGGCCGCAACGTTTTTGAAGGCTTATCGCCGTCTGTGCCTGGTTGTCGCACGTTGAATTACTACCATGCGGTACAGCGTCTGAAAGTCCCCTTGGGCCGACTCAGCAACGTGAGTTGTTTCCATAGCCAGCCGTTGCAGAAGGCGACGCCGCCACGTTGAGGAACGTGCGTTGGCGAAGTATGCGGGACTTGCTGGTTTCTGCTCAACTTGAAGCAGGCTCTTAGTTTCCGAATTTTTTGTCCCAGAAAGCTTGCGTTGACATGGGAGTGGGGGGGGGGGTTGGGGCGAGGCGGGGCGTTTCCAATGTGATTTTTTCTGCGAGAAATTCGGTAGGAATGACGTCCGGTTGGTAATTGTACAGTAACATCATGCCTGGCTATTGCATCAACTCTTTTTGTTGTTCTCTTGCTGGCGTGCTCATGGTACGAATTAGCAACTTTGTAACAATCCCTTACCACTTACTTCTGTAATGTGTTGTTTCAATTTAATATCTCATGTTTCGACTAAAGCGCTACTTGTTCCAGTTCCCGTAAATGTCACTGTTCTTGTTGATGTTAGAGAACCGTAAGCATCAGCACCAACTGATGTCATGCCTAAGTTATTAGCTTTGTTACTTGCCATTAGTATTTATTCGTCGTTGTTTGGACTATCCATTTTGACGCTTTGACTTACTCATACATCTGAATGCAAAATGTCTGCATGTCCCAATAAATTAATCTGTCCTTTTGTTAGTCTACTCTCTGGTGCAGCAGACGGAACTCAAGCCTAGCTCGCTTGATTTGTGCTATGGCTGCTGTTGTAGGGTCTATTTCTCTATTCACTGTAGATTGAAGACTGGAAGTTTAATGATTTATTAACGCATGCCCTGTGAGACATCTTCATATCCGTATCTAAATGATATGCTCCTGTTGGCGTCCAACAAAAAGTTCCTGCGTTAATATGGGTGCCAGCCTTGACCCACCTCTTTCCGCTGCTGTCCTTCCTGTCTTTACTTCACCCTATTGAAGCGTCTCGTATTTCCATATGTGTTTGTGCTCCTCCTGTTGCTAAGCAGTTGATTTTGCTATTCCTGGACTCCCAGCACGTCGTTTCTGGTGGTCAAATCTAACTTCCCGGCTGTACTTTGCCTGTCGCGTTCACGGTTCACGACGTTTGTCTGGTCATGGTAGGGATGTGGTAGTCGCGTCAAACCTCCCTACTTGTTCTATCGTTTGCCGTGCCCCAGCAAGGTCATGATATGACGAATAGCATGACGCTGGTGGTTTTGAAGGTTTTGCTCCCGGCCGCCCCCCCCTTAACAAAAATAGGTCCCTAATTAGTGGAGGGGGGTAACACCACCCCCCGCCGAAACGAATCTGTATCCTAGGTTTTAATTAGAATTCAATAGGAGGGATCAGGATCGGCTCGGATCCTAGGTTATTATTAACTTCAAATTCAATACAGTAGGACAGATCAGGATCGGCTGGATCCCAAATTTGAATAAAAATCAGCAGGAGGGATTGGGATCGGCTTCGGTCAAAGATCAGAAGGGTTTCGGAAGGTATTCAGAAAGGTTTGTTGAGTTCAGAGGATTTCAGTTTTCTGAAAGGTTTCAGAAGGTTTTAAAAAAAAGTCCAGAAAGGATTCAAACCGAGGTCCTGGTAGCTTTGCTTTCAAATGCTGAGCCTTCAAAAGAAACAGGTGTTTGGTTTCTGCCAATTTTAGGGCTCCCGGATTTTGACGGACAACTGAGGGCCCCCAATACATTGGTATTATTGAGGTTCCGGGCATTGCAAAAACGGTTGCTAAGCCTCCTTGAATAAGCGGTCTAATAAGAAATCGACAGGTCTGGATCTGGCTTCAAACCTGAAAATCCGGAGTTTTGATGTCCTCAAAATCCGGACATTTGAGGTTCTGGAAGGGCAGAGACTGCAGGGACTACGCTACTTGCGCCATTGCGGAGTGGAATGGAGTGGAATGGAGTGGAAGGGAAAGGTGGAGAGTGAGATGGAAAGTGAGGTAGCCATTTTGGCTCAAGTCTCCTGCCTCATCTTCTCCCGTTTGGGGGAGGGCGGCTGGGCGCCGGCTTGCCTTCCTTCTGGGTAAGCCCTTGGGGGGAGCAGGGCGGGGGTGGGAGTGGCGTACTGCAACATTTTGAGATCAAGCACAAGTTCTAGGGGGCCCCTCCGCGCAGGAAATCCTTTACTGGGGGACTGGGACTACAGGTCTGGATGTGATAATACTGCGTGGCTGATTTGCCTGACGGCTGAACATCTTAGCGTGGTGTTTAGGTGGAACTAAGCCCTCTGAGCGGAGAACCTTAACTTCGGGAAAGCTTAGAACATCGCGTGTTTTCAGAAATCGGGAGTTTCTTGGGAATTATTTGTGCTTTGGGTCTCGTTGGGGCCCACTAAATATCTCTCTATACTTGTCTAGCCCTTATAATACACCAGCCCAGGAAGTGACGGTGGGGCAAATGGAATGCGGAGGGAGCGGAGTTGCGATCCAATTCTGGTGCAAGACCAGCAGCAAGACTGAGTTTCTCAGGCGCCGACCCAGGGGTCGGCGGATAATGCTCCCTCAAAATGACCCCACCTCAAAATCCGGCCTGGCCGTCGTGGTCCAGTGCGGATGCACGCCTAGCTAAGCTATGCTTATGGGGGCGCGGCCCGGTCCGTCGACCCCTACCCTTGGAGGCCCTGGAGATGTGTTTTCAGGGGTCAAAAATTAAGGTGATTTT